GTCAGAATCCGCAAGGTCTCTTACACACCCCTCTGGAGATCAAAAATACTAGATCTGGGTTCCTCGCCGCGCAAGGCATAAATGGACCGATTGCCCAGTCGCGCGGCCTATCCTTATCTCCTCTGAGCAAGGATCCGCTTTCTCGTCATGTGAAGCAATTCTTTCTGACTCTCCTGGAGTTCAGCTCCAGAGCAAGCCTTTCCTTTTCGGAAGCCTCCCTTTCTTGTTCAGCTCTGAGCCCATATGGAGGTCGTCTGGAGCTCCTGGTCCTCTCTCTGACTCCTTGAGAGCTAGCGGCGTTGTCCTCGAAGATCCTTACTTCCGCCGCACGTCGTTCAAGCTCTGCCTTGGAAGTCATATTCACAGAGAGCGGACACCTTTTGTTCAAGTACCTGTTCGCGCTTTCGAATGCTTGTCGTTCTTTCCGCTTTGACGGATTCCAAGTTCTAATTTCAGCCCAGCGACCTCCTCTTTAGGTCGTGCCCCTTTGCGGCCCCCAGCCGAGTCTTCCCATAGACATCTCATCGCAAAGCAAAGCCTGCGAGCAAGAAGTGAATTAGAATGAAGACAGCGGACAAACTTTAAGAGCAGTGTTACCTTGCTTAGATGCTGAAACGACGTGGTCATCAGGTCATCGCCCTGTATCGGCGAACTCATCATTGACTCCGATAGCCACAACTCGAGCAGAGAATAGACTATTGGCTGCAGGTATTCGGCAGGCTCCCCAACGAGTCCAGCAATGGCGTGCCCTTGCCTTGTAGCAGCGATCGTCTCGTCCGCGGGTTCCTTGCCCGACCTCCTTCTTGAGTCTTGTCGCGACTCAAGGGTTCTTCCTCAGATTCAGTCTCGACCTCGCTCGACTGATATTGCTTCCTCTTCATTCGATCTCTGCGGCCGGAGCCTTCGCTTGGGCGAGACGGTGGTGTCTGAGCGACATATCTGTCTGCCGTCTCTGTACAGGACAGGGTTAGGAAGGCGCGGCTATTTGCACCGGTTGTGCTATAATGGGACGAGCAGCTCGATGACGCTCTCTCTCTCCCCGATCGAGGAAGGAGTAAACGGTGCTCGCGCGAGGCTGCTCGGACTCTTTTAGAAGGCATAGTCACTGCATGCATGTACATTTGTACAAAAGTTATTTTGTGACAGAAGGGAATTAGTGTAACTACCTTCTAGGGTCTCCAAAGACGCTTGTGCTGATGAAACCATACTTCGCCAAGTTCGCGATTGTCACGTGCTTCGCTGTGTCCCGGCTCTTCCTGGGGAAGGACTCCAAAAAAGACACGAGCCTGTTCGGGTCGTCAAGCAGGTCTTGGCTGGTCATCTTATTAACTGTAAAAGAAGGCAGGTCGTTATGATAAAGCAGATGGCGAACAGATAATGAACCTAGCGAAGAAGAACCTACTTGGTTTCTGAAAGCGGTAGTGGCCATCATAGTAGAAAAAGAAGAATTTGTGTCTCGTAGGCCCCGCGCGTTGCTGGATAGCTATGTATCCTTCGCGCGATGGTAGGTCACTGGGACAAGTATAGAATCCTGGCCTTTCTCTTTTGAGATAGTAGGCGTACCGCAGCTCCATCGCCGTTGGCTCGCCGAAGCTACTCTCGCGGCATTGTCCCGAGCTTCTTCCATTCAGTCATCAAAATTACAAAACCTCCAATCGCGGCGATGACTTAGTTTCCAAGGTTCGTCCTCAAACCTTAAAAATAATGGAAACTTCTGTTATGCCTGGGAAAACAGAGGCTAACGTGGAAAGTCACGTGATGCAGTGTGACTGTCCCGTCAGAACGGTAAGTACACGTCAGGCTTGCCAAACGCTACGGAGCTCCCACGCGTCCATTTCCATTTCCTGTAATAAATCGCATGAAATCAGCTTGGGAGTGGGCAATGGACGTAAAGCGGATATGACATGACACTCAACCAACCCATGGAATTAATGATGATTACACGCCCCCTCATCTAGTTATAAAAGGGAGAGACCCCTTCATTAAGGGGATTCGGCCATTTTACACTTAATTCTCTCTCTTGCAAACTTTGTATTACTTTTCCTAATCATTGAGTCAGTCCGCTGTTGCCGCTGACCCACAATAATATAACAAATCAGTGGACGTAGGACTTGTACCTTAGCTATCCGAACCATGTTTAAAAAGCTCCCATCGCATTATTTATATTTTTCTATCCATAATCACGTGTGTCTCTGGCCAATCAACGTTGCGTACGTGTCGATTAGTTGTGTTTAGAATCAGCATCAACATTATAAAAAAATATACACGAATGAAGCTTAATTTAGGCTGGTTTGGGATACTGGTAAAGAAAAATTACTAAAAAATGAAAGATGGCTTCTTTAATTGGATTTAGTTCAAAAAGACATTCATCAATTTGTTTTCACTTTTATCTCTTAAATCTGCAGTTAGCTCTGGTTAGTAAAAACACGTATTATAGCGAATTGTACGGAATAGCCATATATTCGCGTATAAGACGCACGTATACGTTTTATAAAATCTACCATATAATTCGCGTATAATAAGGCTCACGTTAATCGTTGAATTATTAGAAAAAAAAAAAATCTCACCCCCAAAATGACATCATTTAGTGGGTTTTTACTAAAAATCAAAACAGATCTCTCTTCTCAGTTCTTCTTCCTCAGTTCCAATTCTTCTTCTTCCTCAGTTCAATTCTTCTTCTTCCTCAGTTCTTCAGCTTTTTCTTCCCAATTCTTCACAAATTTCCACAAGCAATCAACTCCCATAATCAACACGCAACAATCAACTCTAGCAAACAATCAATTTCCACAACCTTCGTCTCTTTGTATAGAATAAGTTTATAATTTATACAAAAGAGCACGGTTTAAGAAGGAAGTGAAGCAGAAGGGGGAAAAGAAAAGAGAAGAAGAAGAGAAACTTACAGAAGAAGAGAGAAGAAAGTTGAAAAGAACGAGCAAATGAAGAGAAGAGAAACGCAGGTGATGAAATTTAATAAATATATAGTTTTACTTTACATGGTACATTTGTAATTTTGTAACTGACTACAGGTGTGTATTGTAATTTTGTAAACAATTGGTTTGTTATGAGTGTTTGATTTGACATCATAATTGAATCTTGCTAATATTGTGCTTAAGTCTGGAAACTATAATTGATATCAGTTGTATTTATATATTGGGTATTTGTGTTATGGTAATTGAATACTTTGCATTGAAATGTTATATTGATTTAACTAGGTATCCATAAAGTGTTAAACTAAGATTGATATTGCCGTGTTTTTCAAAACGTATTATTGACAATGCACTGTATTAAAAGTATATACCTATATCGTATTTTTCCCGTATCTAAATTTATGGCCGATTTTTATAAAGATTTTTCACCGTTGCCGTATTATACCGTAAAATTCCTGTACCCTTTTTTTGACCGTACCTGATTTACTAACTAGGACAGTTAGGAAAGCCTGCCTTATTTTTAGAAATATAAAATAGCTCTTATATATATTATATCTTTTTTTTCTATAATTATTTATTCTTGATTTTTTTTAATAAAAATATGATTAGTTAACTTATTTGTTAGTATAAATAAATTTTGATATTTTAGTAGCTCCTTAAAGAGCTTTAGGTATGTGATCATGTTGTCCTCTTTTACTTGGTACTCCGCATTGACTTGGTTTAACTATCAATTGTGAGTTGCTCTTTATTAGTAGACTTGGCTTCATTATTGGAGGCCTTTAAAGTTGAATTTCAGAGCATACTCAAAGATAAACCCCTTAGAGCTTGTGAGGATGATTATAGCACCACTATCATACGCTATCGGTAGAACCATCCAGGATCCAGAGCAATTGACGAATTTTTTTTAATCAAAACTCTGTTGAGTGGACTCTGTTGCTATTGATGATGTTCCTACATTAGAGTCATTGTTTCCTTGCTATTGCTTGTCTATCTCAATTTATGTTGTTTTTTCTCTAGTACATCCTCCTACTCCCCCTTCAAAATTGGTCAATTTGACTACGAAATCAATAACTGCATGGGCTTTCATGTTGTTCGAGGTTTGTAGAGAACGTCAAACTCACTCAGTTGCATGGACCACCTTATAAGTCTCCAAGATACTTCTTAACTCTAGAGTATTTACCATAGAGGATAGTTGGTTAGGACGACCACTATGTTAGGGGTGGAAAAAATCGGTTAACCGAACCGGTTTTCGGTTCAAAAAAATTATTGAACCGAAACCAGTCCGGTTTCGGTTATAAACCGAATCGAAAATTCAGTTCGATTAACCGGTTTTAAACCGATTATATATTGGGCTGCATTTTTTGGCCTAATTATGAATTATGGGCTGCATTTTTCGGCCCAATTCGGTTTTTGGCCCTTTTTTCCATTTTTTTTTTTTTTTGCTTGAATTAAAATTATATTTATTGTAATTGAATAATTTGAATTCATATAATTTTTAATTTATGTCAAATATTAATAATTTAAAATTACAAATCAAAGATTGCAAAAATAAATACATGATACATGCCATCTGTGAACAGTTACGAGTTACCAGGTCTCACTGCTATCAATTTTTCTAACAATATAATGTCAAAGGATATCTCTGGACTGTCACAACTAAAAGTGTAAAAGGCTCTGCATTTTAGTTTTAAACAATACTGGTATAAATTGGGTGCAGGCAGGTTATTTTCTCCTTTCCTCTTTTCTTTTCATGTTTTATTCATATACTTCAATTTTGAAATACCATATTTTTCTTGATATTCAGGTTGAAATAATCAAGCCTTCATTGCCAGTAATTGAAGAGCTACATCTCATGGGAAATAATATAAGTGCCATACAGGTAGTCCTTGTTGGAAAACCTTAATTTATGGCCTCAAAGTCACTCAATAATCTCATTTAGACACCGCTGAGCATATTATTGTTTGTCCTTATCTTTGAGAATTTATTTTGGCAAATTATTACAATTTCACCAAGATAATGAGTGGCTGTTATGCATAAATTTATCATATGATTGCAACCTTGTTACGGGTGGAAAATGAAATGTAAATCAAACACATGATTAAAACTAGCAAACACATGCTAGTCCACAAAAAGATTTCAAACTAGCAAATATAAATATAACAAACCCACAAAAATATTTCAAAAAAGGCCTCCAAGCAAGCAATAACCGTCAAACTCCAAGCACATGCCAATCCATTGTCAAATGTCAACTGTTAAAACAAAAAAAGTTCCATAACTTGTTAAGTAGCTCCCATTTTAAATTTTTTTCTTTTTATAAGTTTGTCCAATCAAATCTAGAAATTAGTAAATAAAAGAACAAATAAAACTAAATAAAATCATAGTATATACCTTGTTATTGGAAATTTGGATTGCCCTTCAATCATTTAGTTGAGGACGAGTACTTTCTACTCTGAAAGATGGAAATTCTGCAAAAAAATTGGATAAACACATAATTAAATAATTGAAAATATAATTAACAAATCCAACACATACATAATTAATTAATTGAAAGTAAAGCAAAAATTTTACCTGACTCAATTTTTGTTAACTCATCCAAGGTGTTCTCAATGGCTAATGGTGCACGCGTAATCCGAATCCAATCTTGTGTGCAGATAAGAGCTTCCATTATTTTTGTAGTAAGGGAGCTGATGCGTGTCTACTACAACATGCAAAACTAGCAAGTGCACTAGTCGCTCAAGTAATAGAGTGATGGGTAGGATATCGTTCCCACGAGGACTGGTAGCAAAGCACTAAGTTCCCTAACGTTAACAAGTTGAAGCAACCGAAAATCTTGGATTTGTGGGAGCAATTTGTAATTGAAAGAAAACAAAATAAAATCTAACAAGAAATTAATCCTTAAAAGGAGATACTGGCCGCATTTGTGTTCCAAACGATGCGCCAAGATATGGCTACCGGCCAGTTCTTTGGCCGTAGATCTGGCTTTTTCCGGCTAGATCCATCGTGGATCTGGTCGGAAAATGCTAGATCGGCGCACTACGGCCAGATTCAACCAGTAGTGCGCTATATACCAGATTCTGGTGGTGGTGGCCGGAATCTGGTAAATGTGGGTGGTGGGGTGTTTTTGTCAATTTCTAAACATTTTTTTGGGGTGTTTAGTTAAATAACAAATTTAGAGGGGTAAAAGAATTGATAATATAGAATAATATTTAAGAATAAGAATAAAATGGTATTAGATAGGATAGGGAATAAATACTAAAAATTCTTACCAAACGGAGCCTAAATTTTGTTGCCGCCTGAGCCAAGTTTTGTAGATCCTAAAACAGGCTAAGAAAGGCACAAAAAATTCCCATATGCTTCAGATGAAAATAACAAAATAAAATCTCAACTATTTTGAATAATGATATAATTAAGATTAAAAATTTGACAAGAAAAAGAGAACTATATCATTTTAAACCAAGGAACCAACCGGATACTTCTTGGCAAAGAAGATGAGATTCCCAATGATATAAATCCTCACCTCTTCAATGTCATTGAAAAAAAAATTGCATCAGAATCCTTCAGGTAAAAAAAAATGTAATAAGTAATTTAATGTAATTTCCATTTCATACGAAAATCTGTTGAAGGGTCTGTGCCTTGCCAACCCATTTCTTTCCAAAGCTCCGATTTCAGAGCTGGCAAATCCCTACCAGGACAAGCTAGCCTCCATAACTGTTTAGAGCATCTGCCAGCACAAAAGTTCAATTTTATATTTATAAGTTATGCTCTAAAACAAAAGCAACAGGTCAGTCTTTCCCTTTCCTTTTTCTGGAGGAAATCAAAATCAGTGATCTTCCCAACACAACCATTATAAGTTAAAGTTGTAGAGAAATAAAGTAGGCAAATTTATACCTCAACCCTAATTTGGAGTAATTATGACAGGGATGATTAAGCTTATAAGATGTTCTCACCCAGTTTGACACACTTTGATACAGTAAGTGAATTGTGGGCACTTAATTTGAGTACTTTAACATGTAACTTCATCCATAAATTGTATTGCAATTTCAAACATGTAATATAAATCCTCAAGGCATCAAAACTTTTAGCAATCGGGCATAACTCTTCACTATAAACAGATTTCAATTTCATTAATAACAAAAATGAAAGGAATTAACCCACATCCACTATTATTGCTAGCTCTAAAACATTGAGGCGAAAATAGTAAGTATAAAATTAACGGAGGCCAAAAAATTAGTTAAGTAATAAAATTAAACGGAGAAAAACCTACCTGATGTTCCACACGGATCCATCAAGGGACTTCCAGCCTTTGTTGTAGATGTCTAAGCCTTTCTCCTAAATTGACACCAATTAATAGCGTAAGTCATACACATCAGTTCTTTTTTTTGATTAGATCGAAGAAATTCAAAGCAGAATTAAAAACATACATATTTCATGATTAAGTGCCATGAAATACTATCCATTTATCAAAACTAAGAGGTGAAATGCACAGCAATACAATATAATACCTGTAGAGGACTAAGTGAAGATGGAAAAGCTTCCGACTTAGTCCATTTGAGGTGCCAGAAGAGAGAGGCAAAAGTCGTCCAATAAGTGATCCAGATCCAAAAACAATATTTGCTACAAATTTCAAACTACCAAACTTAGTGAAAGGACACCTAAGATATTTCCACAATCAGCAATGTTATCAATAATCACAAAGCACTTAACACCTAACAGGTCATGAAGCATGATTTTTAAAAGCAATGACCAATATGATGGAAACTAAACAAATAAAAACAGGCATATAATGCGAATCTAACTTATATTTAGTTATCATTACACAAATGATACATTGGCATATGATTTCTAAGTGGTGTACCTCTTTGGTAAATGTAAAATGTCTTGAGAGTAACCTTACCTCACCGTTTGAGCAAACTGCCACCAGTTGGGACATTTAGTAATCCGAAAAAAAAAAAAAAAAAAAATGAGAGAGAGAAAAGAAAAAAGAAAACTAAATATAATTGCTTCAAGCAGTCATATACTAATTGTTTTCTTATTAAGGATTTCATTTAGAAACAAAACAGTACACCATCCTAATAGTATCATACCGAGGCAAACTTCTAAATTCAGGAGCAAAAACCCCTAATGCAGATTTCAAGAAAATCATGATGAAGATAGAATAACAAAAGTGCAGTCCCACTAATTAAGCAAGTTTCCATAGTAAGAGATAATGCTCAACTAGCAGTCTGAAGTACAAAATATATCAATCAGCCAACCAAAATTATCACAGCATAAGCCATGTCTTAACTAGCCTCTCTTGCCAACAAAATTACATCAAAAGCAAGAAACTGCAAATTATCATGACTATAAAGATAACAGTAAACATTAGCACATCACACCAAAAATGAGCTCATTGTGCAATTAGTCGAGTCAACAGAAACTACCACAAGTTTCCTAACTACCGAGATTACAAGGTTGCTACTTTGGCACTAGTCCACACATGCGAGGTAGTTTCTCAATACCAAAAAAATCTACCATCATAGTATGAAAGACTACAAATACCAAATTTTTGTAGACAATTCGCCGACAACAACAATACAGTAACCGTCACCAAAAATGATCCTCTAAGAAGATGATCAACAACAATATAACACACCTAACCACTGTGTCCATGTGCAATCAACTGAGAAAGTGAGAAGTCCAATGCAAGCGCTCCATTCTCCTTTGATCATCCCAAATAATCATCTACTCTACGTCCTAATATACATTTAACATAATTAAAAATTTATTTAAAAAAAAAATATTCTTCTTAACTTAATGAACACATTGAAGAAAAAATACCTGGAGACGGAATTATCATCATCATAGTTAGCTAAAAGGTTCACTTAAACTTCGAAACCAGAAGTCTCCAATGCTCACGATTTCTCCCATCAACATCCGTGATGGAGTCGCCCCTCAAAGTTCTCGATGTCATCAATTCAATTCAACTCAACTTGCAATTTAGAAATACCCAAATCAATATAAACCCTAAATCCTAAACTCACATATCATAATTCAATTCTACGAACCAGGATTAATAATTTAATTTAATGAATAAAAGAAAAAAAACAAAACAAAACAAAAGAAACGGACGTACCAAATTAAAATTTAAAAAATATAAAAATGAAACGAATTGTATATGACCTCGTAAATTTGTCACTAAGCAAAGTATAAGTTAAGAACTTTGTTTAATTTAAATAATTAAATAATTAATTAATAATAGTACAACTGTACAAGCCGATCGATAAAGATAATCGCTTGAATAACAATTTACAGACGGTTTTGGAACAAAAATAACAGCAAAGACGTGTTTTACAGTTAAGACGTGGACTGTTTGGTAAGACAGATAATTGACAAATTTTACCATAAAATACGGGTACTAACAGGGTGTGTGTTTTTTATTCTATCTATTTTTCTAAAATATTAAAATAATTGGAATTATGAAAAAAAAAAAAAAAAAAACTTGTTCAACGTATTTATCTGAAAACAATATTTGAAATTGTAGAGAATAAAACGCCTTCGAACATATTTCACTAAACAGTATTTTTTTAACATAAATTATCAATTAAATATATTTATTATTGTTATGCCTAGGAAAACAAGGGCTAACGTGGAAAGTCACGTGATGCAATGTGACCTGCTCCCGTCAGAACGTAAGTACACGTTAGGCCTCCAAACGCTATGGAGCTCCCACGCGTCCATTTCCTGCCCTAATAAATCGCGTGAAATCAGCTTGGGAAGTGGGCAATGGGACGTAAAGGGATTATGACCTGACACTCACACCACCCATGGATTTAATGATGATTACACACCCTCATTGGTTATAAAGGGAGAAGACCCCTTCATTAAGGGGATTCGGCCATTTTTACACTTGAATTCTCTCTCTTGCAAACTTTGTATTTACTTCCTAATCATTTGTAGTCAATCCGCTGTGCTTGGACCCGACCCACAATACTAATACAATCAGTGGACGTAGGACTTGCTACCTTAGCATCCGACCACTTTAAAAAGCTCCCATCGCATTTATTTCATATTTTTCTATCCATATACGTGTGTCTCTTGGCCAATCAACGTTGCGCATGGTCGATTAGTTGGTGTTGTTAGAATCACGCATCACATTTGGGCTGCTAGAAGGAGGCTAATTTAGTGTTCATCCTTCATCAGGAGAATCTTCAACCTACTGGTCCACAGCAACAAATGGCCACCAATCTGAACCTGGAAGCGTAACCAGTGCGTTGAAGGAGTCCCCTTGACCCAAGGGGATACCCCCTCAGGGTACTTCCAGTTTCACAAATGTTACAGGGGATATCTCGGAGCTTCGCAGCTTGACCCCGCATCAGAAGCTACCTGGAGAGGTTCGATAATACTCTCTAGACGGTCAACTAGAGGCTGGACCGTTTGGACCAAGGAATGTCATCTACAACAGCTGGGGCGGTGCAACGCCCAAAAACGCCTGCAGGTCGCGCGAGCGAAGGCGGCAAGGGAAATAGCCCGTGTCGCAAGCACTGCAGCGGTAGACGTAAGTAAGGGTAGAAGTGGCAAAAAGTAAGCCTAGGGTCCTAAGGACCACGAACAAACCATGCCCCGAGCAGGGTGCCGACAAAGCTGAGACTCGACGAAAAAGTGAATCCGAGCTGCCCATGCCACGTCGC